CTTCCTGGGATTCTGGGATCCCAACAGGATTTAAGGCTGAGTTTAAGGCTTCGGGCTCAGGGGGTTTAGGGTTTAGGGTTGAAGGTTTATGTAGGATTTAGGGTTCAGGGTGTTTAGGGTTTAGGGCATCCGAGTATTCTACTGGCAGATTCCAAGCACTGCTCGAACCAACAACGGCCTGTGTACGTGAAGAGGTCTCCAAAGTAGTTCGGGTGGATGCACCACGCAGCCTAGATGTGCAGGAGGCAAAGCGTGTGATCTGCCACCGTTTGCATCATCATCCACAATGTCTCCATCAAACTCCGTACGGGTAACTACATCTCCAAGCTCAACTTTGGTGGGAGACTCCTCAATCCCTGAAACCCTGAAAAGACTCCGGTACTGGCGCCGTGTGGCGGGCCCGACGGTGTGGAGCTTTCCCTTATTCTCAGGCTTGGCCTTAAACCTGAAGCGGTGCACCTCGCCAGCTTCGCAAGGCTTCCTAGGCTTTTCCGTCTTCCGGTGCGCGCATCCCAACACCACTGAGCAGGGAAGGAAAGCCTTCCGACAGCTTCTGCACCTCGTAGTACAATGAGAAGGAAGATCCAAACAGATAGAGCCTGAGACTCTCCAAGGGGCTGCTTGAGGAACTGGGATTCCCTCTAGTGATGCGCATCTATGCCTTCAGCGAAACCGGCAGACATGACGCATGGCTCTAGGCCTCGAGGCCTCTAAGCACATGCTCGCATTATGTAGCTTTCGCGGCAGACTGCTGGCAGCCAGAGGGCACCAGGCCAACCCATTTGTGTCCTGTGAAGTTGATGTCCGAGGCCATCGTGCAGTAGCCTGTGTTCGAGCGAGCACTGCCGGGCTGCTTGGGTTGAACTACATTGCCGGGAAAATACACTGATACTCAGGATGACGCAACTGCCATCAACCCGGTCTCTTCGAACACTGTCTGCCGCTTCATGTGAAGAGGAAGCGAAGGAAGGCGAAACATGAGCTAACAGAAGGCGCAGAAGCATCCCCTGTCGCGGCAGAATCCAACGTGAACCGAGGAGCCGAACATGTAGCTAACTGTCGGGATGATCAGAACATAGATTACGAAGAGCCTCACATGCGAAGACGCAGCTTCAATTTTCGATGGTGCCGACGGCTGGAACTGAATCGTTCTCTGCCCGGCAGCATGCAGACTGTACCTGGGCACAGCCAAGTGGGCGTCTGCTGCCCCCAGATTTCCACCAAGGCCTGAGAAAACGGGTGCCAAGCATGTGTCGGGGAGTGGTTTGGGGTGTCGGGCTCCAGACCTACAGTCAGTGCTGCGAACCTTTTGGAATGGAGGGTCAGCAAGGCATTGAGCCTACGGGAGGCATGGACCAACAAGGAGCCTGATTGATTAGAGCATACCCAACACCCTGTGCACAAGAAGCGAAGATCTGTGGTACAAGCTACCAACCACTGACACTTGAGGTATGACTGGTCTGACGAACTCAGACAGGCCTTGACGACGAAGATGCCACCAATCAACACCAGCACCTCACAAGGCCAGCCTATAGCTTGTCCATGTCCCTCAGGAGCAGCTTCTGGTCCAAGTCTCAACCCCTGAGCCTGAAACCTTGAACGCCCTAAATAGTCCGGCAAACGTAAGGTTGCGGCAGCGGAAGTGGCGACGAAGTAGAAGTAGAACGCCATTTCCACCAGCAAGAGAACTGTACAGCCCTGACATCACACAACATGGATTCAGAGATCACCCATGAAACCAACACATAACAACCTACGGACGTAGATCAAACACAATGACGCCATAGCGGGAACAACCCTGGGTTCCTTACACTTTCTGTCTCGGACCTGTCGAAGCCCAACAAGAGCCGAGCTGCGGCTTGCCACGGCAATCTCTCCGCGCTGCTGCTGGTGACAGTCGGACTGCGAGCGGACACTCACATGGCTTGCGTTGACTGGCGGAGCGGATTTTGGGCTCCTCCTCCATTGAACCCACTTCGTGCAGTCGCGGTCGAGCCCACAGCCTTTGGCAATCGTTTTGAGCGATCTTGCGGAAGAACTTTCAGGATTGAGGTTGGAATAGATTGGAGCTGGAAGTCTGATCTTCCTCTGTTTCTTGGCTTGCCCTGTTGCTGTCATTGGGCCTTCGTTCTTGTGTCGCAGGGCGCCCGTCCACTGCACTCGCCAGTTACTCGGCCGTGACGGCAGAGCACCCGAAAGCCAGTTGTGGCTTCGGGGTTTCTCGCAGGGTCTGTGCGTAACATTGTAGCTCATATGGCCGGAGCGTTTCCGTGAGCCTCTTACCACCGGGGCCAGGCGGACAATGGGCAGCCTCAACGCTCACGATCGTTCTTCTTCCTTGTCTCAACTAGCTCAATCCTCCTCTCCTGACTTCGAGCACGAGCACAGTCACTAGCAGTACGGCGGCTCTTCGAAGCAATGATGCTTTCTCTGCGAATAGCTCATCTGCAGTGTGCCAAGAGACAGCATGTCTGTGTGCTCTCACCTGGGCATCAGGGAAAAGTTCATTCTTCATATATTTTCCTCGGCTCTGGGACTCTTCCAAAACCAGAAGCAGTGCAACGTGCCCCCGAAGCTGGCCTGCCAAAGGCTGCTGCAAGGACTGTGCCATGGGACAGGAAAAGCGGTGCGCCACGAGATCCACACAGATCCTCCTGACTGTCGATGTTCGACAGTCCTCTTGGGCCCGATGTACCAAGCGATCCCTGATGCCGGTATTTCGGTCCCTGTCACACTGTACATCAAGACCATTGCATGCGCACAACCCGCACCCACGGGATGCACCGCGAGCCTTCGGCGTGTGAAGCTCCTGCAGACTACCGCTCAGGGCGTCTGAAAGCCAGGCAGCATGTCCTGGACCTCTTCAGGGCCCTGGGGAGGTGCCTCTCCTGGTAGCTCTTGTCCACCGTGCTATCGTAGCAGCAGCTCAGGGAGCAGACCTGGGCGCCGCAGAAGCCGAGGCTGGGCCGAGGCGCGAGGCGCGAGGCGCGGGCCTTGCCGTTGCTGGTGCAGCACGCGTAGTCGGCAGCTGCCTTTGCACCCCACTCGCCCACAGGAGGCACGAAGCAGGCTAAGCACTCTTGATTCTGAAATCACCCCTGTTGAACGAGCAGACTGACCTGGCTGTACTCCACCAGGGACACGCCTCGGTGCAGAGCGTCACGCTGACTTCGGAGGTTTTGCGTGAGACTAGCAAACCCCTCGTCACGGCAGGAAACAGGGAAGCAAGACCCAGGACCCCGGCCGGCTCCGGCCAAGCTCATCAGCCGTGGAGGAATGCCACCGACGCCTGCAAATGCAAATCACGACAACGCCGAACAACCTCGAACTCGAGACTACCTGCATCGTTGAGGTCTCAAGGAGCCCTATCGTGAGGCAATCTCGAACTGGCTTTGCCCGAAGGAAGGAAACCACAAATAAGCCCAACAAAAGGCCCATCAGCCCCAGAAGCCTATCTTCTTGCACAACTCATCCACGAAGTGACAGCCTTGAGAGGGCCGGTGTGAGTCGGAACATTACACACACCCTCCACCGACAGCTGTCTTAAGACGGCGTCTCCTACACGCTTCGATGGGGAGCAACAGAATTCCTAAAGAGACGTCCGCCTCCGCTCGAGACCCGTAAAGTCCAAGCTCAGCACCCACCCCTGCACCACCTTCCCAATGCTTTACTGAATTAACAGAGCCGCAGTTTCTTCGGAGGACGTTGTAGGAAGCCACTGGCCAAATCGCCTTCACCATTGACAGATTGCAGGAAGCATGCTGATTTTGGGCTTCCTGGACTTCGTCCCAAAACGGAGAATCGATAGAATGGTGGCCTCCATCCCGGCGACGAGATTGAGCACTTGGACCTGCAGCCGTATCCCTAGCAGCCCTAGCACTGACAATGGCAGTCCCACAACATGTCCAGCAACATAGAAGTACCAAACAAGGTGTGCCATGGCACTCCAAAAAAATCTGCCGGAGTCTCCCAGCCTCTGACTTTGACGTGAAGCCCATCGAAACCTCAGAGGAACCGACGACGCTTCGGCATTGAATGACTGACAAAAGAAGGCCACAATGCGCACATAATCTGATAAGAACGAGGTGGCGACAGATTCCACAAAGCGGTGTCCCGGACCTCACGGAACAGCGAGGCATGAGGCAAGGTGTTCCCCTTCGGCCGAGGCAGAGGTGACTGCTCTACGCTAGCCGAAGGATTCGCGCATCCGAAGCCGATTCACGCCCGCAGGATTCGTGCACAGCTTCGCGGACTGAAATCGCCGGATTCGCATCGCGACGCAGATTCGAAGGCAGACCGACAGGCCGAAAACCTCGTCTCTCCCTGGCTCTTGATAGCCCTGAACCCTATACGGGCCGCACCTTAGAGCCTTAAAGTTGCCTTAACCTGAACAACTCCAAAAACCCACAATCGTCAACATATGTCAACACCTCAAACTCCAGCCCTAAACCCTAAACCGCAGAACCCCAAAGACTCGGCTCTCCTGGCTGTGCGTATACATCTTAAGACTTAAAACCCCCACACCCTCCTACACCCTACAAGGCAAAATTGACGTCCTTCCAACCTCAAAGCCTAAGGCCTTAAACCCTGAACCTGAGCACTCCCCTCTGCCAGTTGTTGATGATTAAATCACGACAAACCTTGAAGACTCGGCTCGACACCCCAATCCTGCAACCCCAAGTCGACACCCCAATTTACTAAACCCGAAACCTGCAACCCTCAAAGCCTAAACCCTACCTGAAAAGTCAAGTGCGCTTTAAACATCAAGATCCTGAAGCCCCAGTCCCTTAAACGTAATTACAAACAAACATACAGAATCAGCTTTCCTTGACTCGATGCCCTCAAAGGCAAATTCCCACATCCCTAGATTCCAGTGCTCGACTCGCGGTAATGTTCCAGCTGAAGGGGATGAGGGCCAGACTGGGGACCTCGGGATGCTTCGTGCAATCGGCCGGGGGCCCGGGCTTTGCTTTGGCCAGGCACTGAAGACGCCGGTTCGCATCCGCTCCTCCGCCTGAGTCGGTAGCTGCTTGCTGTCAGACAGGGCGAGAGCGAACAAAGCCAAAGCAATTGCGGGCTCTGCGACAGGTGCCTAGCAGAGCCAGATTGGAGTAAGTCTGGGTTACCCGACAGTGCAGTTCACAATGTCGGAGAAACTCCATTCAAGGCCGTAGACCTGCGGGCCAGGAACGTTGGCAAACAAAGGCCATCAAAGCCTTGAAGTTCTCCCAGATCCCCCGATGCATTCTCGCGGCAGCGGCGATCCAAGGCAACATGGACATCATCGGTGCCAGTGTGGCACCAGCACATGCCACTTAACTGTGACAGCCAGGACTCCTGGCCCAGGAGAACGGCTTGGTGCCGCAAAGAAGGTGTGCACACGGATGCAAAGCAAAGTTCTAGGATGTGGATGTCAGGGGTGACTTGGACAAACACGAACCGGAAGGAGACGTGACAAGCTCCACATAGCTCCACCTCCACACCGCAGTGAAAAGCTCCGCTGCCAAAGGGCCGAAGGACCTTGGACTTTGGAACCACGATATCTTGTCACCAGCTACAGCCAGACGCATCAGGGTTGGCCACGACCAGAGTTACCGCCATAGTCACCAATTCCATCATCGTCGTCGCCATCATCGTCACCATGGGCACTGTGGCAGCCACCATCATCCTGGTCCGTATGACAATGTTCATCATCTCGATTCCCACTTGCGGAGCTTCAGACATATGCTGCACCTGCAGTTGAAGGGTGCTACAGAGATTTGCGGCCACTTCTTGGACTGCCACATCTTTTGTTGTGCTCACAAGATTCGTTCTAAAGACTTGTACAGCTGTTCCTAGTAAAGTTGCGACCGCTCTGCGGGCCAGGCCGAGTTGAGCAGGGAGATTCGCTCAGATGCTCCCAGGTCATAGACGTGGACACACACCTTGGTGGCGTTCTCAATGCTGAGCATGTTGATGCTGATGAAGATGATGCTGACGATGCTGATGCTGATGCTGGTGCTGATGATGACGATGAAAACGAAAATGAACATGAAAATGAAAATGAAGATGAAGATGAAGATGATGATGGAGATGAAGATGAAAATGAAGATGAAGATGAAGATCAAGATGAAGATGAAGATCAAGATGAAGATGAAGATGATCATCATGATGACGATGATGATGACGATGATGATTATGATGATGATGATGATTATTATGATGATGATGATGATGATGGTGATGAAGATGATGATGACGATGATGATGATGGTGATGGTGATGACGATGGTGTAGCTCGGTTAGCGGCGGTGGTGGGGGAGGCCTTCTGGCTGAGTCGTCATCATTATCACCATCATCATCATCATCACCACGGTCCAATAGTCCTCAAGATGGTCATCTGTCACCGTTGTCATCATCAGCAGCCGCTACTTTAGTCCCATGGGAATAGCACCCGAGTAAGCAAAGCCGACACCGCGAAGCCCCGGCCCGAAGTCAGCCCCACCTTGTCCACAGAGATGGCAGAAGTTGCATTCAGATCCGCTGCTGCAGCCCTTGTCCTGACGGGGTCTTCTGCACCGACTCTTCGACTGGAACGTGGACCCCCGCTAACTGGGGTTCGGAGTTCAGAGCACTGGTCTGATTTAACTTCGGATGCTTGGCTGGTCAAGTTCTGCAACTGCAGAAGGCTCAGGGCACGCGCCGTGCAGAGCTGTGAGACAGATTCGGATGTGGGGAACTTGATTTGTTCGGACTTGGGCTGTCACAATCCTAAAAGGGGCACAGCTCTGTGAAGTCGGGACTTTGTCAGGTGCCTCAAAGACCTGACTGATTGACGGGTCTAGTAGGTTTCGGGGTAGGCTATGCGAAAAAAGGAAATAGGGAACCCAGGAACGCTTAAAACTAATATGAGCAGCTCTTCAGGCCTCCATAGTGCATGAGATATAGGCACCTTAATAGTTACACTATTTTGGGGTTCTTATTATAATGATATATACCCCAAAAACCCTATTCTAATTATTAAGGCCCTTATATTAGCTTATATTATTATGGTCTGGAAAGGGCGTTGGGCTCGGGGCCTGCAGCTCGAATTGGTTCGTGGCTGGGCGAGACACTCTTTTTCTCGGCGCAGTTTCTTCAGGGTTTCGGCTACACAAAGCCAAGCACAAACTAGAACAACTCCCAGTCAAAACATCGGAACCTTCGCGGCCTGCAAAGTGCAATGCTTAGGGAGTACCGCTTCGTGCTCCTTGTGTAGCTATAGGGGTTGAGACTCAACAGCACGTCGGTGGCCTAGGGGGTTGGAGGATCATGCGAGTATTTGCGGTAGTCGATTTGCGCTTGTGAGTCCTGGGTGGCAGACATTGCGCCGCAACTGTATCTCATGGACCCTGAACTGTTTTCTTAAAGCTCTAAATCCTAATTCAATTTTGACGCTGATGAACTCCAATCCCTGACACCGCATTCCAGCATCGAAGACGATCCAAAACACAAGCAATCCTAATGCAAAAACGTGTAGAATTACCAATACTATTCCTTAGGGCTCCTTGCTATAACTGTACCAGAATATACCCCAAGACCCTATTCTAAATCTTAAGGTCCTTATACTTGTTTCAGGAGCTTCGGGGTCGGGGAGAAACTCGCAGCTTCCAGACTTGGCCACCGACCTTCCAATAGAAAGCGCACGGGTGGCACTCTCCGGCATTGTGGCCTCCCGAAATGGTAACACTACTAAAAATATGGTAATCAGAATACGACGGAAAAATAGTTTCAAGAAAAATAATAGCAATAGCAGTAACAACAATAATGGTACTAACAACAATAAAAATAGAGACAACAATAATAATAACAGAGAATGGAACCTTTCAGTAATACTTGTACATTGTAAGTTTAAAAATGGTAATGACACTGAAATCTTCCCCCTAGCAGTGAAGCCTCTAGGCCCCATGCCCACGACGCCTCAATCACAGTAATCACAAACTCACACACCCCGAAAGCCTGCTCGAATTACTATAAGGCACCCAGATCCTAAAAGTAATATACGCAAATTACCCAGGCAGGGGACGTCGAATGTTCACAAAAATGTCCAAGCCCAAACAGGCATCTCACGTAGGGAGGTTCAGATACTGAGGGCCGAATTTTCAAGAACTTCCATGGAAGATGATGCGACGCGCTAATTCCAAGAGATGTGGGGTTTTGATCGCCTAGCGCCTAGGGTTAAAGGACTTTAAGGTTTAGCGATACGTCCGTTCTCCCGAACTCTGAAACCTTAAACTCGAGTTCCCCACTCCCTTGAACCCCAAAAGCTTCAAAGCCAAATCCTGATGCCTCAGCCTTCAGAACCGCGAAAGCCTTCGTAACAGGAATCTTATAGAAACCCTAAATCTTAAACCCCTCAACCCTAAACCCTGAACCCCTCAAACCTATAAACCCCTAAACCCCACCCTAACCCCTAAACCCTATAACCC